TAGGACCCGCCTCAACCCAACTCCAGTCCAAACAACCATGTGCACAAAACATACATTCATATAACAGTCATAGTCCACAAACCGAGCAAGCAGATCACATAGCATATCATTACCCTAACCGGGTTACCGACCTAACCGGTCACTAGCATAGCATCACTCTGTATATCGGGAAACTGACCTTAACAAGGTCTCCTAGCATGTACCATCCTAGCTACCAGGATGCAGACACATCAAACAATAACATAATAACCATACCCGAATCTCAATCCAATAAAGGGCCGACCTTGGTGCCTTAGACCCTGTTGATATAGTGAGGATAACTCACCTCGAAACTGTCGGCTGAAAGGATAAGATCCCGCTGCTCCGAATTCTGACACGAACTCCTCCACTGAACATCAAAACATACAACTCAATAAATACCCTTAATTACCAAAATACCCCTGGAAGACAATTGGTCAACCTTGGACAAGTCAAAGTCAACCCCTGACTGACACTACTTGCCGAGTCAACCTGATGACTCGCCGAGTCCATATGCTCAGAACTTCCTTCAATCAGCGGCCCAACTCGCCGAGTCACCCCAAGACTCGTCGAGTCCAACAACTCTGAGTCCACTCGCACCCAACTCACCGAGTCATCCCTTGACTCACCGATTCATCGACTCAACCAGAAATATTAGGACTTCCTCGACAAGACTCGCCGAGTCCAAATGGACTCGTTGAGTCCAAGGCTATCTTCAACCTACTCGCTGAGTTGTTCTTCCAACTCGTCGAGTTCCAGGCCATCTTCAAGCAACTCGTCGAGTCCACCCATGTGACTCGTCGAGTACCACCAGTCTGAATCCATACAGAAGCATCTCAGGCCATGCAATTGATCCAAAACATAGATCCAACCTCCTACAATCCATCCATCATGTAAAGTGGCAAACTTTACGTGAATCTAAGGAGATCTAAGCCTTATTCACCTTAGAACCAAGGTTTGGGACATGGTGGTTTCACTAAGCTCTCAAACACAGGAACTTTAATGCACTCTAGGCCTTCAATATTCCAGATCTGAGGTAGCAACCTCAGATCTAACCTCCAAACTCCAAAACATTCCAAGAGATACTCCCCACAAACCCCAAAATGATGAAACTAGGAAGATACAGCCCAAGAACGAAAGTATTAACTCCAAAAGATGCCTCAATAGCAACCAAACTCGAATCCAAGCAAAGCCCTTTGATCCAAGCCACTTCTCCTTCAAGATCTCTTCAAACAACACTTCTCCAAGCTCTAATTTGTTCAATAATGGGACTCTCCATGAAATTAGGGTTTCTGGAACTCAAGGGGGAATAAGGGAGGCTGTGGAGGGGTGTAATGCTCTTTATATAGGGTTCAACCCCAAAAATTAGGGTTTTCTCCATACAACACCTACTCGCCGAGTCCATCTTTGGACTCGCCGAGTAGGCCACTAGACACACGACCATAGCCGCGACCTGACTCGCTGAGTCTAACCATGGACTCGCCGAGTCACCCTCTAAAACTTACACTTTTAGCCCTTCAACTCTACTCTTGCGATTCCGGGATGTTACAAACATGTTATTACCTGTTTTTCTAACAAAGATTAAAGCATATTATGATAATGGCTTATGGAGATTCTATGAAAGACATGACAAAGTTTGACAAGTTGGTGAAGTTTGAAGGCCAAGAATTTTGTAGATGGCAGAAGAACATTAAATTCCTCCTACCCACTCTAAAAGTGGTGTATGTTTTGAGTACACCCATGTTATAATTTATTGAAGATTAAACTTTGGAGGCAAGAAGGAAGAAATCAAAGTGGGATAATGATGGCTACATATGTTGTGGCCACATTCTCAATGGTATGTCTAACTCTTTATTTGATATCTATTAAAATGTTGAATATGAAAAAGAACTATGAGCTTCTCTTGAATCCAAGTACATGACTGAAGATGCTTCTAACAAGAAGTTTATGGTTAGTAACTCTATGAGTTACATGATGATTGATTCCATCACTATTATGAAATAATTCCATGAAATGTTAAGGATTCTAGAACAGTTTGCTCAACACAATATGAAAATGGATGAAACCATTTCTATGGTTGTTATCATTGATAAATTGCCCCCATCCTGGAAAGAGTTTAGACACACTCTGAAACAGAACAAAGAGGAATTAACTTATGGTTCAACTTGGAATCCATTTACAGATTGAAGAGTCTTTAATGACTCAAGAACTTGATAATAATCCTAAAGGAAAGAACCAACTTGGTTCCTCTTCTATGAATATGGTGGAAGGAGAGGGATCAAAGAATCCTAAAAAATATATTATTAAAAAGAAGTTTAAAGGAAAGGATGACATTTCTTCCAACAAGAAGGATGATGATGTTGCATGTGATGGGTTCCATAGGTTTATAAAATTTATGTACAATGTGTAAAAGTAACACTTAACAATTAAGGGCACATGCAACCTATAAGGTTCTATGTCTTCACTTTTAAGGCAACATATTGATATGTGTATTTCTATACATATTTTTATATATTATATCTTAATATTTTAGCCTTTTTTATTCTTATTTAGAACTAAAAGGTACTTATAAGGCTTTGAATTATAATTTATAGCTATTAGTTGTTGATAGATTGGAAAAGGAAGGATTGGAACGGAATTCGGGCTTAGAAGCAAAAAGAAAGGAAATTGTTGAAGGCAACTAGTACGCCCAACGTAACATTAGTTACGCCAAGTGTTTGGCTGAGAAGATGACTACGCCCCGCGTAGTTAGTAAGTACGCCCAACGTATTGGGCTTGGGTCTTAAGATTGGATCGGGATGACTCTCTTAGTCGCCCCGCGTACACTGACTTATGCCCAACGTATGTAAGTCGGTTCCAAAAGTTATAAATAGTGAATTTCAGCCAACCAGAAGAGTGATTCTTACTACCAATGATCCTTAGTCGACAAGTAACATATATTTGGTCGTTTTGAGGGTCAAGAAGGCGGCCAGAAGGCCGTTAAGCTGACAGGAGCGAAGATATGAAGGATTAGAGATCGGATTCAGTGAGTATGGGCCGGGGGCCAGTATCTCACTTACAGTAGGAGCTTGGACGGGGTTCCATGACTCATTAGTAACAGGATAGGGGCGAGGCCCAAGACAGGCGAGGCCTTAGGACAGGAATACAGTAGGGTATGTTCAGTTATGTGTTATATGCTATTTTGTATTATGTGGTTAGCGGACGGGACCTAGAGACAGACGGGGCCTAAAAAAACAGATTTGTATTCGAGCGGGGCTCGAGGCCAGGCGGGGCCGTTGTAGGGGCAAGGCCCGAGGTAGGGGCGAGGCACGAAATAGCGTGCGTGGCCCAGTATGTGCTATATGTGTTTGTTCAGGGTATGTGGTAGGTTGGGGAACTCACTAAGCTTCGTGCTTACGGTTTTCAGTTTTGGTTTTAGGTACTTCCGGTAGGGGAGGGAAGAGCTCGGGGTGATCGCATTGCAAACACCATTATTTAGACAGCCTGTGATGTTTTACTCTGATAATGAGAATATGTTTTGAATTAATACTCTGAATGTATGTTATGAATTATGACATGGCTTTTATAAATATGGTTTTAGTAATGTTTAAAGAATATTTTCAATCGTGATTTTTGGGACGTTACATTACCCTTCACAAAAGATGCTTGTCATTAAAACATGACTGATTCATCCACGACTACTACCACCATAGTTCAAAAAAATATTTATATGTATATTAGCTTCATAATCTCCCCCATAAACATCATCCTATCTTCAAAATGAAGTGAATCATAACCACCGCCATCGCCAACATAGCCACCATCGTGCCACTTACCAACATACCAAAAACTTGAAATTTCTTGTCGTGATCATCCATCTTGTGCTGGAGATTGATGTGGTCCACCCTAGATATGATGAAATTGTGTCCCAACTGCTCCTTTAGCCTTTCCATTTCGCTTTGGTGCTTAATGGGTGTATCTTCATAGCCATAGAAGATGGAGTGCATATCGTTGTAGGTAAGAAAGTCTCAAGAATTATTGAGTCGGGGGAGTGTGGTGGAGCTGACATGACAATATTTTCGGGTTCTTTTCGGATTGTTTGGCTAAAAAGGGAAATAACTTTTAGTGTTTCTTTTGTTTAATCCCTACATGTGATTTTCTTCATTTTATATTGCCCTACCCCGAATGATAACTTGGGGAGCTAAGTGTTAATGAGTGGTTGGGAAGTAAATACTCATTAAACAAACCTTGCATACATGGACTTATTATGGACTCAATGTTGACTCAGTATCCTACTATGCAGGTGACACGGCACAAAAACCTATTAATATAGTAAAACTCCCAATTTAACTGATAAACATTAAGTTCGTACCCTTAGAAAGCAAATAAATAAATAAATAAATCAAATACAAATGACCTTTTAAACCAATATACATAATATGGTTTGGTTGCGTGAAAATAACCATTTGATTAAGTTAATTACTTATAAAAATTAAATATTTATGCAAATATAAAGGGGTGTTTAAGATTGCATTTGAAAAGTGCTTATTGGCTTATCGGCTTTTTGAAAAGCTAATAAGTCAAAAAAAATGTTTGACAAACTCAAAAACACTTTTCAGAATAACTTTTCCATAAGCTTAAAAAAAACTTTTTAATAAGCATGTAAAACGTGATTTTTTGAAACTGTTAATGATTTTTCAACCAAAATAACTTTAAAAAACACTTTTTAAGCCAAACACTTTCAAAAAGCTTTTTTTTAAGCCAAACACTGTTTATTTATTGACTTATTGACTTTTTCACTATAAAAGTTTATCCAAACACTTTTAAAAAAAATCTACTTGATACTTTTTACTTATTGACTTTTTCACTGTAAAAGTTTATTCAAACACTTTTTTATAAAATTTATTTTTACCACCACTACAAACAAATAAACCCTTTTACCTACAAAAAATTAAAATAAAATAAAATATAAAAAAAAAATAATAAAAAAAAAAACTTTTAGAATTCAAAACACTCCACGCACCCCCTAACCTAACACCCTAAGAGTGCAAATAAAAATTTGATTTTTGGCTTGTGAACGATAGTTTGCAGAGGTAGTAAAATTGTCATCAATGGCAGCACGAGTCGGAGAAGGGCAAAGAAGAGGAGGAGGAAGGCCACTTCCGCCGTCGGCAAGAGGACCTACTGGTCCTCCTGTTCATGGTAAACCCGGACCTCGATTTGAACCAGTCGACCGCGAAAAGGTTGTGTTTAGCTCTCTCTCTCTCTCTCTCTCTCTCTCTCTCTCTCCGCTTATCTTCATATCGACATTCCTTTGTGTATTATCGTGTGTGTGAGGTTTTAATTGGTGAATGTTAATGTGTATAAGTTCTATTATTTGTCTGAAGCTTTTCTAGGGTTTGGAAATATGCTATATTTCTGAGGACTTTAATGCTTTTTGTCTGCTTGGATAAACGTTTGGTAAATGACTTGATGTATTGCTAACGTAAAATTTAAGTTCTGGTGATTATCTTTCACAAACTGAACCGAATTTTATAAATTTGTGAAACTAGGGATACTCTTCGGTCTGAATATTTGAATCTTCATGGAGAGAAACAATAATAGCCTCTCAACAGTGTAAGAAAAAGCAATCTTCATCAATGCGCGTCAATTCATAAAGAACCACTGATTCATAGAGACAGTTTTGATACCATATTGGCAATTGAGTAGAAATTTTGCAGTTTTGACACCAATACTTCAGGAGATTGGGTCGTTATGTACCCTTTGAAACTTGTTCTGTATTTCTTTGGTAGGACTTGAATTGCAGAAATGATCATATAACTGGCTCTCAGTTATCTTAGCTACTCTTAAATCCTGTTGTGTAACTGTGTTTGAACATATTTCATAAGCTCAGATTTTCTACTTGAACTCGTGCTTATGCTCAAAGCATCTACAATTTAATGAACAAGGAAGCTGTAAATGTGTAATTGAGCTCATGAGCTGCATACATTCAAACTAATTCAAGTCAAGCATCTGATCTCTTAGAAAAGTAATTCTATGAAAACGAATTAGCACCAAGTTTTTTATCCTCATATATTTCATAAGCCAAACAATAGTTATAGTTTATACAACATAATAAACCGCTTGTGTGACTGACATTTTATTGATAAAGTCCTTTCTTGACATGCAGACTTGTCCATTGCTACTTCGAGTTTTTACCAAGGTAAGAATCCCATTTGAGATGCTGGAATATTACTTTTATATCCCCTAAAAATAAATTTTGGTGCATTCAGTTGTAAGTTAAAGAGTATTCTTGATTTTGAAAATTGAAACAGATTGGTGGTCATCACAACCAGGCAGACTTTGCAGTGAGAGGTAAGGAACCTAAAGATGAAGTCCAGATATACACATGGATGGATGCTACACTTCGTGAGCTAACTGATCTGGTACATACAATACAATGGAATGGAATGATGGAAGGAATGGAATTGAAAGTTGTTGTGTTGTGGTTTTCAGGTAAAGGAGGTAGCACCAGAAGCTAGAAGAAGAGATGCAATGCTGTCATTTGCTTTTGTATATCCTACCAAAACTGGTCATTTTACAGTCAAAGAGGTAACCCTTATAGTTTTTAACAATAGTAAAAAAAAAAACATCACCTTACATTTTTTACATTTATCACCAAAGAAAACAAATTTGTTGTAGGTTGGGAAAACCTTGTCTTATCCGAATGCAAGACGACCAGACGATGGCAGCAAGGCCCTCGGCAGCCTTAGCTTTGAGGTAAGGAAACACACCTTCTCGTTATACTGTCTGCATTGGACTCAGACTCAGACTGATGTTAATGGGGAGTATAGGACAAAAAATGTTGATTCTTGTCCCACTTAGAAAGATAGGACATGCACTCGCTCTTGATTTCTCATCTATACAAAAAGACATGAATGCCCTCCTCATCTGTATAATCGAAAATAACCCTAGAAAGTTTGTCCAGACCAGTGTAACGTAACTTGTGAATTTCTAACGAGTAACCTAATTTGCAGATTGGAGATTACCTAGATGTCGCAATTCTTTAGATTATCATGGTTTTGTGGTTTGGTTTGGTTAAGAAGATTAAACCATTGGAAGGGTAGTTTTGTAATTTTGCTTGCGGTCAACTAAAACCCTATTTACATGGATATCTTTAAAACCCAATGTTTTAATTTGTTTTTTTTTTTTTCCCTGTCATTTTGTGGTCGGCCTTGTTGAAATGAGATGATAACTTTTTCTTGCAGCCATCCATCATGTCTAATTCGTTGAATCAGAATTAAAAGAGACAAAAGAAGTCTTATCGATGTCTTTTATGCGTGTTGATGGAATTTAATGTGCTTGAGTTGTAATAAAATGTATATAAACAAAATCAAACCCTATGAAAATATGGATAAGTTTGATTTTCCTTGTTGCATGGAGATGATGTGTTTATAATTTATATATTAAATTAAATATTAATAAGATACATAATCTAAATAAAAACTTAATTCTCAAATCGCTATTAGAACCCAATGCTACCTTGGCATGGACATTGTGACAAAATTTGACGAGCTTGATTTCTAGAACTTTATTGGACCGATTAGAACATGTATAACTACTGAAAAGCAAATTTCAAATACTTTATTGCCATAATGTCACTAAAAATTAAAAATTGAAATGTTATGCTGGAGCCACATAGGCTCTCTTGTTGGCATTAAACATGTTAAACCCCACTTTTTATAATATACAACTATACCTAGAATGGTAGACATTTTATTATTATATGGTTTTATTATTGGTTACTAATATGAATTGGAAACTAGTCACAAACCGACTCTTTTGTATTCAAAATCAAGTTTTTTATATTATATTATTATGCGTTTGTTTCGCTAGAATTGAATTGAATTCGAGGAAAAATAAATACATGTTCGGATATTTGGTTTGACTTTGTAAAATGAATTTGGAATCCTCAGTGAAAAAACTTTTCATTAAATAGGAGAAAACATTTTTGTTCAAGAAGATGATAGAATTAATTTCTTACTATCAATAGAACGCGACATTTTATATTATTATCTTTGTTTTATTTCACAAACGTAATCTCTACCATTGCCACCGCCAACCTCTACCGTTAATTTGGAAGATTAACACTAAAACTTTGATAAAATAAAATTATTGATGAAACGTGATATGATAAAACTAACTACTCGGTTTATATACTAGTTATTTTTTTCTTTGTAAATTTCATTATATTAGTTTGACACTTACGGATTAACGTTATTATTTAAAATAAATTTAATCATGGTCAGTTCTTGTTTTTTTTTTTTTTATTCAATGAATTCTATAAAAGTAAACATGCATCAGAGTTTTTTATGAACAAATCTTTTACAATAATTGAATTTTATATAATATAACTGAATAATAAATATAAAAATAAATTACTTATGGATATATGTTACAATGTAATGTTTTAAGTAGGGTTTAGTTATAAACTTTGTTGAATATGTAGATCAATGGAAGTTGAATAGTAACAAACAGATTTATATAATTTTGATTTGATATGATATCATATATTGATAAGCAAATAATCTTTATCTGCTATAGATTTTTTTTTAACTATAAAGTTGGTTTATGAAAAAATCAATCAAATATTATGTTATTTCACATTCGCTGGGCTCGGCTTAAAATCCTTGTTATTTCACTATATTAAATAAAATAATGCTATTTTAACTGTTTAAATAAAACTTTTTGTTAATTGACTTGATTATAATTGCATAGAAATGTGTTGTGAACATATACACACGTGATTTTTTTTTTTTCAAAATAAAAGGATGGTCATTGTCACTGTCATTTTTGTAATAAGAGAAATCGTATTTTTTGTTTCTACAAATCATCATACTCAATTAAATGGTGATATGTGTAATATTTAATACTCATTTAAAGAGTATAATAATATGATATATATCATCATTTAAATGAGTAGGATGATTGATATGAAAAAAAAAAATACTAATATATTTAATTTCGTGTGTAATAATTAAAAGATACACGAGACCTACAAAATAGCATAAACAAAATGCCCTTTCCAATGATGGTTATATTTCATGTCTTATACATTTTCAAAAAAAAAAAAAAAAAAAATGCAAACCAAGTCTTTCTATCTACTTACATTTTTGGAAACTCAAAGAATATATATCAAATAAGTTTTCATGTTCAATAGTAAAGTAGTTTAATTTTGATTTTCTCACGACTTATAAATGTATAAGGGCACTTTATGAATAATATATAGAGAATTTGTGTATTTTCCGTTCAAAAAAAATATATTAAAACAAAATAACTCTGTATAAACTCTTCTTTTATCCTTATTCTAATAAAAAAAATATTTATTACTATTTATTTATCATGTATCATCCTATTAGGTAACTTATGCCACTTGTCAACTTATTGATTCTTCATTTTAAATTTTAAATTTTAAATTTTAAAATTTTCACTCTAATTACATTAAATTAATAACATTAGAATAAAAATTAAAATAATATTAACACATATTATAAGATGATATAAATTTATGTATTTATTTAAATCAACGATTATAATTTTATATAGCTAAAAAATCTTTTAATTAATAATGAAACACTCTAATTTTTTTTTCTTTTTTAAATCACATAAAACACAATATCACATTTCTCAAAAAAAACACAAAATGTATGAGTTGTTAAAACACAAAGCAACAAATATTTGATAATATCTTAGAATCCTCAAAAACATAATCTCTAATTACACTTGCCAACCTATTGATTCTTCATTTCAAATTTCAAAATTTAAAATTTTCATTCTAATTACATTAAATTAATAACATTAGAATAAAAATTAAAATAATACTAATACATATTATAAGATGATATAGATTTATGTATTTATTTAAATCAATGTAATTTTATGTAGCTAAAAAATATCTCTTAATTAATAATGAAACACTCTATTTTTAAAATTTTTTTTTTTCATTTTTAAATCACATAAAACACAATATCACATTTCTCAAAAAAATAAAATAAAATAAATAAACACAAAATGTATGAGTTGTCAAAACACAAGGCAACAAATGTTTGATAATATCCCTGAATCCTCAAAAACATAATATCTAACTGGTGTGTACAATCAAATCGATGCCTTTGTGCGATCTTGAGAGGTACCTGAAACACATATCACACAACACGATAAGCACGAAGGTTAGTGAGTTCCCCAAAATACCACATACACAAATAATAAGCCTCTCATGGCTATAACGCGACATGGACCCTCTAGTCTCATGCTTCTTGGTAAGGATCCTCTGGTCTCACGGCTCGGTATGGAGCCTCCGGTAATGTGTCTCAGTGAGGACCCTTCGGTCTCGTAGCTTGGGTTGGACCCTCCAATCCTATATCTTAGTGAAGACTCTCCGGTCTCACAACTCAGTTTGGATCCTCCGATCCTAACTCAGTAAAGCACAGAATAATATATCATATATCACAAAGACAAAATGCATAATATCACATAACTCAGTATAAGCACATGGGACCCTACGGTCACACAATATTACTGCCCAGGTAAGTATAGTGAGAAGACTCACCTCGGAAGTAAGCAAATAGATCTAGCACCCCACGACAATCTAGACTCCGCCTACATAATATAATTATCTCTAATAAGCAATTTGTAATAACCAGTCTTAGATGCTAAGCTAACTCTTCTACTAAATCTCAAAAGGGTGAAAAGACCATTTTACCCCTCCATGGTCTCTAAAGTCCATAGTTGACCAAACCCTAAAAGTCAACAAAAGTCAATGCTCAAGTCAATAGTCCTTGTTGACTAAACTCGTCGAGTGCCTCTACGTGACTCGTCGAGTTCCTTAGTTTTTCTTAGAAGTATCGGGGAAATCGAACTCAACTCATCGAGTTGTCTCCTCAACTCGTCAAGTTGTAACGCGTTCAGTCTATCGGGGAAAACCCTAGCTAACTCGTCGAGTTGGCTCATGTACTCGTTGAGTTGGCTCATGCACTCGACGAGTCCCTCCAGACCATTTCTCATTCAGACGATTCTAAGCAGAAGTAATGTCCTAAACTCTAGATCTAGCCTCCCAAAGCTAAAATACCACATAAATCTGCAAGTTTTACGTCCATGCATGGCATCTAAAGCTTCGAAATGCCAACACAAGCTCTATTTAGGGTTTTAATGCATATAAACTTGTCTCCAGCTTGATAAAGCTTGGATCTTTGGGCTTAAGGGACTACATATGGTCCGGATCTGGGATCTCAATTCCATGGCTAGCTCAAAACACTCTAGAACTCAAGAAAGGATGGAAAAAGGCCCCAAACTTATTAGGAACGAGATCTAACCAAAACAATGAGCAAGGTTGAAGCTTTTTACCTCCAAACCTGAAGCTAGCACTGGAAACACTTGATCCAAAACCGAGAATGGAGTGGAAGGATGAAAGAAATTTTGATTGTTGGGTTAAAATTAGAACATAACAGAAAATATAAGGTCCCATAATGAAGTTCTCAACCCATTGGGCCCTCTTTATGGGTTTACGACCCAACACGGTAAATAAAATTGGGTTTACAGGCCAATAATGTTCAAGAACGTTGTGCACGACCCATTAAGGCCCATGAAAGTCTCATGGCCCATAAATCCTATGGTTTAATGAATGTGGGTCCAACTTAGGTCCAATTGTATATTCTGATCCAAAAGGACTAAGTTGAAGGTTTAGTGGCCCATTAAGAGGGTCTTGGTCCAATAAGAGTTTCAACTGGGATATTAGGGTTATAAATCCACAGTTGAGTGTATGAAATGTATTGAATTAGGTTTTGGGCTTCACGAGTGAGTTTTGATTCAAATTGTTGTTTTTGAGTGAGTAATATGTATAACATCAAACTTGGAGTCACAAGATACACTAAAAGTCGTTTACACATGAATAGAATTTCTTAGCGCAAAATGCGAGTTGTGACATCATCTCCCTGTTACAGGGAATTTCGTCCCGAAATTCTTTTGAAAGTCTATCCTAAGAGCTATAGAAAAGGTGAGGGTACTTTTAAATCATTTGGTCTCCGTGATCCCATGTGAATCCTGGTTCGTGCTTAGCATTGTTAGGGTACAAAGTTCTCCATGTATGACTTTGTAAATGGTTTGACTTTTGTAGACCCACTTGCATGTGGTGCATTAGCCTTATGACTAATGAGTTAGAGAGTGAAAGAGAGACATGTAAACACCTCTATATAAGGTGGGTTCATACAACTTGTAGAGGTGTGCTTGAGAGATGTAGTTCATAGTGATTAGTGAGTGAGATATTTATGAAGTTCTAGACTAGTTCAGTTTTTGTACTCATTTACTATGATCGAATATATCTTTTAGCACCCAAATCACCATGTTCATTATGCAAACTTTAATTCCTCATGCCAAACCATGTTCTTTTGTCACTACAATTGGTATCAG